ACACACCATGTACACACACACCATGTACACACACACACCATGTACACACACACCATGTACACACACACACCATGTACACACACACCATGTACACATACACACCATGTAAATACACACCATGTACACACACACCATGTACACATACACACCATGTAAATACACACCATGTACACATACACACCATGTACATACACACCATGTACACACACACACCATGTCCACACACACCATGTACACACACACCATGTATACACACAATGTACACATACACACACCATGTAAATACACACCATGTACACACACACTATGTACACATACACACCATGTACACACACACACCATGTACACACACCATGTACACACACACCATGTACACACACACACCATGTACACACACCATGTACACATACACACCATGTACACACACACACACACACACACACACACACACACACACACAGAATAGCTAGACTCATCCTCTTTTGCAACCAGAACCTTTGTAGCACGCTGCAGCCCGAGAGTACTGCCACAGCCCTCTAACCGCATGCATGCCCTTGGTTCCCATGAGTACCAGAGAGCAGGCAGAGGGATCCTGTTAGAACTCAGTTCTCAGCTCAGAACCGTTAATGGCCCTGTGATCTCACACAAAAGGCCAAGTCTGAACCTGCAAAGCTGTAGGGACAGGAGCTCTCTCCCCTTCTCCCTACCTCTCTGTGGCCACAGCAGAACCCTTCCCATTTTCTCCCTCAAGGTCCCTGCAGCCTAGCGCCAGCCCCTAGATGCTCTGTGGTTCACTGACTCCTGGTCCCCACACTTCTCCTCCTTCATGGGTCACCTTCTCAAGACCCCTGCTCTAAGCACTGGCTCAAACAGCCCTAGCCCTCCTCCTTCCCCCTCCCAGTGTACTTCATAATCAGTCTGTTAGAACAAAGGACCCGAGCCTGCTCCACTCACAGCTGCGACCTTAGGGCCTGTATCTGGGCCTGGCCATTCCCTGGCCATTCCCTGGGCACTTGGTGGAGCTGTTGAATGTCTCCTTGCCCCTCTCCTCCCCCAGATCCCAGAGGGAAGGACAGTGATTTACTGCAGTACCTGGCACAACCCCCAGGGCTCAAGTTCAGTGCCAACACATTCTTTAGACTTAAATAACACCGTGCCGAATATAACTGAGACCAGGGAGAGGAAGAAACAATAAGATATGCCCAAGGGGGCAGCAGATCTGTTTTTAGCCAAAGTCTAAACCCGAGAGCACAGAGGTAAAGAGGTGGGAACAGGTGCGGCTGGCTCCATGCAGTCGGGAGGCTTCCTCCCCAGCCAGGGTGGCCACAGGCCACAGAGGACAAAGAAGACCTGGGACAGCTAAGGAAAATCAGCCTCAAGCAGGATGAGGGCAAGAGCCCCTGACTAGGACTCCAGGAACTAAAGAAAGTCCACTTTAAGACAGGGTCTCGGTGCTGGCAGGGCCTCTCCACTGCTGGTTCCCTCTGCTGTGGGCAGGGCTGTGGGGTTCACCAAGCATGAACTGGGAGAGAGGGGTTAAACATTATCATGTATCATAATTATATCAGTTAGCTTACTAACATCAGTTTAAAAGCAACGCTCATATAAATATCACATCACACTGGCATTTATGGTATGGCTGTCTTCCATGGGGAGGGAAGCTCACTGCGAGTCCCATGGAGGAAAGCTGAGGGTTCTCAGGCAGGAAGACAGCCAGCCCCAGACTCTCGGAGATCCCCCATTCCAACCCCACTCTGCTCAGAGACCCCCATTCCAACCCCACTCTGCTCAGAGACCCCCATTCCAACCCCACTCTGCAGCGAAGCAGCTGCGGTCATGCTGGCCTCTTAATCCCTGTGCGCCTGTCTCCTGGGCTGTAAATAACATGATTCCTATGCTACTTAGCAGGTCTGGAACTCCGAGTCTACGATTTTACACCTTCCAACAGTGATAATCAGACACAAGGCCCGAAGCCTACCAACGCATGCAGGACCTTCAAACTGGACAGTCCGGCATGCTCGCATGCACACAGGGTTCTTGGGGAGCCCTTGAAGCCTGCCCAGGAGAAGCACATATGACAGTGCCTGGCCCCGGGACCCCTCTCAGATAGCGCTGATAAT